AAATGTATACTGCAGTGTGTCCCCGGATCGGATTGCCAATAGGAAAAACTTTTTTAGATCTGATACAGCTAAACCGAGCACGGATTTTAAATCTATGACCAAAAATTATGTTTACGTGTCCGAGCGTTTAGCTGAAATATTTCAAGAGTTCAAAATTTACCTACAGTATTAGAAAAATTAATAACATGAAACACTAAAACATAAGGAATGCTTTTGATGGCACAGGAAACCGTTTCCGGTGATCAGGTCAGTTACTGGTTGTATTTTTGAATAAGACTGATTCCTCGTTTAACAGTATCATTAACAACTCTCATCTTAAAACAATTTTCACAAAATTCTTAAAAAACTAGATGACATGGTCAATTATGGCATGCTACTTTCAGTAATTCTTTACTTTTGCATTTTCCTTCAATAATAAGGACACAAAGAAGAAGCTTGTTCATCCAGTAAACAAAATTTCTACAGTAAGATTCCTTAGATTAAACAATGCGACGTGGACTATCAGGCAGTTTTTAACGGTTTTGTGTTTTTAACATCATTTATTTAGTTTTTGTTGTGTCGATTAAGTGCTCTGAAACCAATGAAGCATCTTAAAAGAGGTGTAGGTTTTTTCACCTTATCATCTCCTTATTTGGATAACTTTCCAGAATACCTAAGTGGAGCTTTATTTCGGTATCTCTCATAAACCGAGCTTACACTTCTATTTCAAAGTTTTCGAAGAAGAAATTATGAAATTGTCTCAGATGTATCTTTAATCTCCCTTTCTGGATATTTATTTCTATTCTGTTTCTTTTTATTCTCCCTTGTTGTAGTTTTAAGGTCAGTACTACTCATGCTCTCTTTACCTTTGAAGAAAAACTTTGTCGTCAAAGTTTTTTATTTTAGTCGGAGCGTCTTTCGCAGGAACATCAAATAAATCTCTGGGATCACTTCTAAACATATCCTCACATAGTTTTCTCATACATGAATGCTTACTTTTATAAAAACAAGTATTGTGCTTTAAAGCTAACAAACTGTTTAAAAAAACGGCACACAAAAGGGAATCAAATAAATAGTTGTAAAGTTTAGCAAGTTGTCGGCTATGTGTCAAAGGACTCTAAATTTATAATGAGCCTTTTGCGAACACAAATAAGCGCGCAGTAGTACGGCTTAGTTCAAATTTATTTAAAAACTTTTTAAACCGTGGAAAGACCGAAATAATTAATTAGGCTTATACACCATTAAACAAATGCAGCTGAATATTTATTATTTAAGGTCAACTTGGATTTTGCACTTAAAAATTTTATTAGTTTCGTCTGAAAAGTTTTAATGAATGGAAGACTTTAATGGGGACATTTTAAGTTTAGTCGTCATATTTTTTCACTAAACCTATTTTTCCGTTGTTTGTCTTTACTACACGCCACACCTATATAATATATTATGCAAACCGTGTCAGGTTTTATGTTTCTCTAAATGTTGAAGCTACTTTTATACGAGCTCACCTTAATTTATTTCAACCGACCTATTCAAAGTTTTATGGTCGTACAATTCTCCCTTTTAAAAATGTTTGTTTAAAATTAACAAAATCTTTTGAAAAGGCAGTTAAAAGTCTCATTACTTACGGGTAAATAATTATAAATATTATGTTGGTTTTACAGATTACCAAGGCTCTTAACTAGCATACATGTTTATTTCCGAAATTTGCTCGCCTGCCATAGTGAAGAGTGGTAAGCAATGAAGGGCGGCTTTATTTGATCCTGTTCCGTCGAGCAAACTTAACCGTTTTAACTTTGGTTTTGTGCAAGCTTCGATTAATTTCAATGCGATCTAAAAGGAGCCTTTTAATCTCTAAAATCTGCCAGAGAATAAATGAACTAATATTTTTGGAAGCCTTTGTAGAGGGGGCATTAAACTTTAAGAATTTCTTAAGTAGAAAACATCTTGAAAAGAACAAAATTAGCAAGGGACCTTAAGAGATACCTAAACTAAACGAATTTAAAGAAACCTGGGGATGGTTTCAAAACAGTAATGACAATGATGACTTTATTTAATAAATGTTGGACAAATAATTCCCGTCTAACTCTTTAGAGGGCTAATTATGTTTTCTAGAATAATATTTATGGTTGTGCCATAAGACAGAAAGAATGGAAGAAAAGAGCACTGCGACGTTTAAATTTATAGTTTGGATCCATTCGGACAATATACGTTCGGATGTGCGGAGCATTTGCATTGTAAACACCTTTTGGGTCCTTGTCTTTTTGGCACACACAACGATCGTAAGTTATGACGCTCGAACACGCTCCGTAAACTTTTATCATCTTCCACTCTCTTACTTCCACGATTCCTTTATTGTACTCCACACGATACTGTTGCATAAATCAAACTGAAAAAAATAACGAATCCAGTTAGAGGATGCAATGTATTCACACGATGCTTCCTTGATTTAAATTATCCTCAATAAAATTCTATTTTTCTACTACCTTACTGGAAAACTTAATTTTTTGTTGTTTCAACAGCTTATTTTTTTCAGTGTGGTACTTCCATGCCTCAATTGTTAAATTTAATTAAAATAATTACGGGCAATGTTAATGGTGAAAATTACGTCAAAAATGTTTATTGGGATGCTTACCTTATGTCGCTGTATACAAACATTTAATTTAAATAATTTTTTAGATAATATTAAGTATTTGTCGTAAAAGTAGTATAGTATGCAACACTTTTCTTGGCACTCATTTAATTAATTCGTGTCTAAAATGGCGTTTATCAAACTTGATACATAATATATGTACTATTATGATAAAAAATTTAATTTTTATTTTACATTTTAAAATAACCCTATATTTTGAGCCTGTGTGCAGATACAGTGTTTTTTAAAATCCTTATTTCATGTTCTTAAAACTTTGTACATGTATTTTCCACATTTTTCAAGAGTGAATAAATATATATTTTTTTAAATTAAAGCTGTTTTAGAAAAAAAGTAATAAGTATTTTCCTGAATATAATACAAAAAAACCTAAGATAAAATTATTTGTTTAATTTTGTTTTTCTTAAACAAAGAACCTAGGTATTTATTTATTTTTGTAAAGAAATATATTGTTTCCAAGAGATCCTTATTTCAAAGAAATTATTGTTTAGGAATAGCATTGTCTTCCAGATAATAATATTGTGTTTCGATTGTATCAAAAGATTTGTATAAATTATTTCTTTGGTAATCGAAAAGTAAAGCCGTTCGATGTATTTTAAATAAATGAAAAATAAACTTTGCCCGTGGATCATGTAAAAATAAACGAAATGGTAGTGGAATTATCTGAAAGCCTTACAATATAAACATCTTTTGATGGATTAGGTTACAACGAAATAAAATCCTATTATTATGCAGCCGTATCTGTTTCTCTTGGAAGGGGTCTCTTTCTTTTATTCGTCAAAGTATCCAAGTTAAACGCAAAAGAGAAATATTTGTGTACTTTTTCACTAACAATCTAATTTATTTATTGGTCAAAATTACCAAGGTGTTAAGGTGACCAAATGGACGCCTAATATTTATGTAATAATTTCCTGAATATTCTATTTTATTATTAAGGCCGTCTTGGTGATTTTAACCTTTAAAATTGGTGGAAATTATTTAATCATGTTGCAAAAAATAAAACCGCATTAGCATACAGACGGCATTTTCTCGCTTTTTGTAAATTGCATCGTTTCAAGATGGAAAACTTCTTTTTCACTCTTCCTTGCCCCAAGGCGTGAATGAAAAAATCCGACTCAACTTTTTCCTTGGCAAACTTTAACTGCGACGAAACAGTTTACAGTTTTCTTTTAAGATAGACCTTCGTTGCGACAGATTTTATTCCTTGTGTATTAGCGTTTGAAATACTTATCGGTATTTATATGCAAAAACGGCAATTTCAAACAATAAGGAAATGCAAATTTCTATAAACAACGCGCAATATATCACTATTATGTGGACATTTTTATCGATAAATATATTTATACAAGAAAGCTCTATTGTTAAGTCAATCGATTGAACAAAGCAATATAATTCAATAAGTGAATTGATGGCATTTTGCCCTTTAGAGAAAATAGCTGGTTAATAATTTACGTCTATTAAATATAGAACACAATACACATAAAAGCAATTTTATGTGTTTCTATTGAAAATTACGAAATGATATTGTCACTGGTAAAATATTAAACTCGATATCAGAGAACCATTAAATATAGATATGCATTGTTTGTTTGTAATAATGTTTTTCTCTAATTGCAGAATGTTGTGTTTATATTGATAAAGATATCAAAATGTAATAACGACACATGTGGAGCTCGCTCGGTTTGAAACTTAATTGCTATTTATCCATACTGTTTGCTTTGGTTATCCGCTAACATTAACTAAATTCGATCGCTCGATTAAAATTTCGTACTTTGGATATTTTTTATTCCTTAGCATGTAATTAAAGTCTTTTTAACATAAACGATCACCCAGATTCCCTTCTCTTTTAATATGCTCGTTTGTAGTTTCTTTGATTAGCCGAAAGGAACTGATACTCCTTTAGATCGTCAAGGGTATTATTATGGAAGAGACCTTAAAAAAACGTAGCGCTATTTCCTTTGTGGTCGATAATGGCACTCAAGGATTTTCATCTTTTTCCTTAGTTTGCATTTAATGAAGAACACATAAGGACAACGCTGCCACTTTATTAGGCTTTCTCGAGAGTCTCTCGGAAAGACCCTTTGCTCTATTTAGGACGGTAATTAAACCAAATTAATTAAGCATTTAATGTTTCACCTTAATTCAATGGTTGCTTTTGTGATCAGAAAAGTCGACAAACTTGCCAATAGCTGCGCTTAAATACCCAGTCCGTTTGTTGTTTGAATTTTGGGGGTGGACGCCTCAAGAATTTGATTATCTGGATAAACAATCGCCTAGAGCAGTCGAGCGGATGATTAAACTGTTTTCGGCCGGGCGAAATTAAAACCCGACCCTTACGCGAATAATTGAAATTTTACGAATTTGTCTTTTGTTTCAGTTCATTGACAATGAACAATAACAACGCCAACACGAACAACAATAACAACAACAGCACCAGCAACAACAACAACCTGCTGGTGACGCAGACCAACCTAAACAACAACGTGACGGCGGGCGTGAAGCTCGACCAGCAGCAGCAGCAACAGCTTCAGCTGCAGGAGCAGCCCGACAGCGACACGATCAAGATGTTCGTGGGCCAGGTGCCCCGTTCGATGGACGAGAACGAACTTCGACGTATGTTCGAGGAATACGGAAGGGTACATTCGATCAACGTGCTCAGGGACAAGGCAACAGGGGCCAGTAAAGGTACGTTTACATTGATTTTATTTTTTCCTTTGATAAATTAATTTTGAAAAAGTTTAAATAATTTATACCTATTTTTACATGTAGGGTGATAATACTATTAACAGAGCTGTTCCGAGTACAATAAAAAATTACTCGAGTAAAAGTACTTTGAAAAAAATGTACTTGAGTACAAAGTACAAAAAATCCAATAGTACTTACGAGTACAAGTACAAAGTACTTTTTACAAAAACTCTGAAAAACAAAATATAAGGTTTAGGTCACTATAGGGATTTAAAAAAAAACTGTATTTTTATATTTAATTATGATTTGAAAGTTTTTTTCCAAATAACCAATTATTTCGATTTTAAAAAGAAAAAATATTATTCAAATAGATTAACTATTATTTTACATATAACCCTTATATGTTTAGGATATTTATTAAATAAAATATATAATAAATTACTTGCATGAATAGGTTATACCTATCGTCGCCTTCAGGAGAAAATCACGCAACTCCACATTTTCATTAAAATGGTATTTTAGTGGCATCTGTTAGATAAAACTGTAACTAATTTATATGCAAGTTACAGAAGTCCTAAAATAAACCGTTAATTTTAAATTTAGAAAAAGAAATATACGTATCTCCAATCGTGGAGGAGCGTCCAAGGAATAATGCCTAACTCCAGTATACAAATCAGTGCCATTGACAAGTATAAGTTATTGCCTAGTTATTTTTTCTGTTTACGCGTAAAACCTTTGTTTTCCGAAGTGAAAATTGTTAAAAGTAAGAATGAAAGATTGATAGTGTGTAAAGTTAAGGTACCATGAATAATTTAAGGTTACTTTTATTAACATAAAGTACATATTGGAGATACGTAATTTTCCATTAAACAATTTTTTGGCGGTAATGTGGAGATACACCAATACACCTTTAATATGTTTTTCTTTCCTCCTGTAAAATTTTACTACATGGAGTTAAGCAATTTTCTCATGAAGGCGACGCTATACTGCCCTACTATGGAGAAAGGCAGTGACTGCTAAACAAGAAATTTTATAAAAAGCAGTAGGTATTTAATTGATTTTTTTAACTTATGACATATTTGACTGCATTTCTGTGTTGAATTCTGTTACAAAATGTCCATAGCTTTACCATGGCACAAGAAAACGCATTTTGCATTTTTTTGCAGTAACTGCCTTTCTCCATAGTAGGGCAGTATAGGTATACCTATTCATGCAAGTAATTTATTATATATTTTATTTAATGAATAACCTAAACATTATTTAACTGCAAGCACGAAATTAAATTAAAGTAACATGCATTTATAACTGCAAAACAAACAAAATTGAATGCAAGAATATATCCTAATTTTTTAGGGGTACCAAATATAACAAAAACTTAATCGAGTAGGTAATCAAATACAAAATAATATTTAAAATTTTACTTACCCCAGTAAAACAAAAACCAAAACACTTAAAATAATACTAATGCAGATTCTGTATTGCAGAATAATCTCAAATTTCTTAAAAAAAAAAACGTTACATATGACATTATGACGGCACTACCAGAGATAAAAAGGGCACTACCTCTTGTAATATGTAATATCTCTATAAAGTAGGGCACCACAATGATATTTTACCAACTTGCCCATATCGAGGATTTATTCCGAATATTTCCGAACCGTTAAACTAAAGCATTATAATTATGGCGATAAATTTGAATATGTAGTGCCACTATAGAAGTGATTATGTTAACTTAACACAAAGATGCCGAGTACAAAAAGTACTCGAGTACAACAAAAGTACTCCAGTACATCAAATGTACTCGAGTACAACAAAAGTTATAGAGTACATCAAATGCACTCGAGTACAAAAAATGTACTCGAGTACAACCAATGTACCTGTGCCCATTTTTACATTTTTTAATTAAATAAGTACAAGTACAACAATTTGTTTTAAAATGTACTCTGGACTGAGTACCGAATACATAAAAAGTACTTAAAGTACAAAATTTGAGTACAAGTACTCGAGTACTAGCTCTGACTATTAAGGCTCTCTGCCATTTGTCAGTTGTCCATAACATTTCTTATTAAAAAACTAATAAATAAAGACAGCTAATATAAAACTAAAGTCTATTCAAATCCAAGCTGGACTAAATGTAAACACAATCGACCAATAAGAACTCACAATCCGAGTCACACCATCAGAATCCAGACATTAAATCTTAAAAATAATAGACTCTTTAAGCGAAACTTTAGTGATGAGAGTATCATTAGAATTACCTTTAGTTGGCCTAAATAATATTCACAATGGATATAAAAATGTCAAATATTTATCCCGTATACATTAACAAATTTTGTTTTAAAATTTTTAAAATAACAAAATAATAAAGTTCCATTAAGGATCATCATGACAAACAAAAAATCGTTGTTTACAATCAACATTTAAAAATGTAATTTGCCTCAGAGTTGCTTGGCAAGCGGAAAGCGAGTGCCGAGCGTGCGGAAAAATGCTTACTGCGATATTCATAATGTAAATGTTTAGTAAGAAAACAACAATTATGGGGCTGTAAGATATCAGGGGAAAATAAGGAATAAAGAAAAGCGGAAAGATAAAGTTGAAAATGTTTTTTTTGGCCGCGGCTATGCGTGTAATGCACCTCATTGTGCATGTAAGTAGTTTTAAATAACATAAGCTAGTGGAGTGATATAAATTGACGGCGTTTATCTATAAATGCAACTACGGCTTACGTATTGTTTATGTTTTACGATCAGGCGGGAGGTGAAAGAAGGCAATCTATAAATCAGGCTTTAAGATGATTAGCACTAAACGATTAGGTAACGAGAAATCTCATTAACATGGCGTAAACTATACTTTGAAGTTAAATCGTGTAATACGTAAACAATAAAATATAAATTATTTTTTACAAATAAAATTAAGATAAAAGTTTTAATTTTGTCTGATATTTCAAGACAAAATTCATTCAGCTCTTTGTTTATATTTTGTGCACGATTACGATTGAAATACGTTTTAGGAACGCCTGAGAATAATTTCACATGCACAATACGTCGTGCGCGACTGGCGCTCAATTGTTATAAACAAAAGATTCTTCCTTGATAAAAAAAATTGAAAAATTTTTTTTTTTCAAAATTTAAAAAATTAACAATATTTTCGTAAACTATAAAGATTCACTAATATTCTGTTAAAATTGTATGCGTTGAAGGTTCAATTTTCTGGAATAATACCACTGGTAATATACTTGTAATGCGTCAAGGAACTTCCTGTTTCCTTTTTTTCCTTTTTTTCTGTGTAGTATGATTTAATTTGACCAAAAACACATAATATTTAACACTGAAAAGGAGTTCAATTTACACCAGGTAAAATTTATTTTAATACTGTGTGAAAGTTAAATTTACACTATTTTAGTATTTTAATTTACACTGGACCAACGAACTATATTTAACACCATTTTGGTTTGTATCGATATAGACCATGTATGGTGTTAATTTGGTGTTAAAATGGTCATGAAATTTTGAACAGTGTAGTTAGCAAATTTTTAAAATATCTTGCCAAGTTGCGTGTCATATTTTTTACGGTCTGAACGGTCAAAGTTAGCTAAAAAGTACTACCTATTAGTTTTATTTTGAACTGTAATCAATAGCAGGCCTATTGAGGGTTGTACAACTTAAAATAGAATCTTAGAATATGAAATTTTGTAGCTGTGGCATTTGAAAAACCGATGTAGGGTGTTAGGTTTTACAAAATTCATAAAAATGCCAATAACTCAAAAACTAGCGATTTTTTACCAAGGTCATGATTAGTTTTTCTGATTGGTCATGAGTTGGTCGTCAGTCCTTCAAAGGATATCGTTAACTTTTGGACACCCTGTATACTAAAAATACAGACACTATAGAAAGTTAATAAAACAAACATATTTTATTTTACTAATTATATCTACTATTTTAAAACAAAATGCTTTTTTATGTACTCACACTATTAAAATATTTAACCATTAAATTTGGAGATAAATTCGAAGCATTGTTCAAAGGTCGGTGATTTCGCGATAAAATCATGCACATCCGCGTGCGTGCCGTTAATTTTCGACACGGGAGCTTTTTTGCGACTCTCTCGAGACGACGCGTCGGAGGGCAAAAGTTAAAACCCGCGGCGGCCGGGCGTAGCAAGAATGAAACAGGCCACCCTCCGCCCCCGAGCGGTGTGCATGCAATTTGAGTGCGTGACGGCGTTCGCGATGTTCATTTGCAAACTTATCAGCTTTGAAATGACGGCCGTTATTTTTTTACAGTCGTCGTACTGAAATTAATCGAAAAAGTTATCGGGGGAAAAATGACCAACAGATATGAAATATTTTAATTAAATGAGCCTTGTGAATTTTTATCAGGAAATGAGCTCTCATAAAAAAATGTACTTCAAATATTATACACGGTGCTGTTCTGAGAAGTAATTTTTAGACTTTCTGTTAAACTTTTTTTGTGATATTCTATATTTGTTAATTTTAACCAGATTTTATGTTAATTCAGGTCTAAATAACTTTATCTACTCCTACATTGACGAGCTCTGACTTTATGGAGTTTTATTGACAGGCTGAAGTTAACAACAGTGGCTTTTCGACATTTTACGTCACGGGCTGAAGTTAGCTTTGTTATAAATTGGGAAAAAGTGATGTTAAATTCGGGTGACAGTTGACAGATGTCAAAATTTTAACAAATAAAATTGGCTTTAAATTCTGTTTTGTGTTCGTCGTAGATAAAGTATAGTATGCAACTCTTTTATAAACTTCTCTAGACACTCGTTTTTATTTATTTATTTATTTATTAATTAAACTCGTAACTAAAATGGCGTTTATAAAACTTGATACATAATATACTATTATGTTAATTTTACAAGCAACTGTAATCTGTTAACCAATTGAATAAGTATTGTATAGTTTGTAGGATCCTACATCAATATTCAAACATAATTCTAGTAATTTTCAAAAAGGACCTTATTTTTATAAACCTTTT